GAACTGGAAAGATGGCTCAGTGGTTAAGAACAAACACTTGTCTTGCAGAGGACCTGAGTTCAGATCCTTGCACGCACACTGGCCAAGGAATCCAGCACCTGCTTCTGGCCTCTGTGAGTACTGCACTCACATGCACAGACACACAGGCAGGCACACATGCAAACACATAATTTAAAATAAGCAAACTTTTTTTTATTTTAAAGAATACAGTTCAGTGACATTAGAACATTCACACTGCTGTAACTCCCACATCTGTCCATTTCTAGACCATTTTCATTATCCCAAACAGAAACTCTGTGCATACAGAGTGTGAGTTCCTACTCTGTCCCCCTGAAAACCTTCCGTCTGCTCCCTGTCTCTGTGGCAAATGCGTTGTACTAAGTGGAATTCTCCAGAATTTACCCTTGTATGTCTACCACCTTACTTATTCACTTAGCATGATGTTTACAGACTTTACCCGTATACGAAGACACCGCTCTCCATTCAGACTGAGTGACCCTGTATTGTACATGTAAACCACAATTGGTTTACCCATTCGTCTGTTGACTTATACTTGTGCTGTTCCCATAGTTTAACTGTTGTGAATAACAGCGCGTAAGTATCTGTGTTCAGTCATTCTGTTCCTTTAAGTGTGTGCCTAGAAACAAAACTGCTAATCATCCTTAATTATCCCTGTTAGGTAATAGAAAAGGCACTGCCGGGCCTGACTATAATACTGTGAGTTTATGCATGTGTCCTCAAGCTTTTGTGTACATGTCATCTGCATGTGTTCTCACACACACATATTTGAACACTCATGTGGAAAGCAGAGGTCAACATCTTTCTCAGCCACTGTACACCTCACTTTTTTGAGACAGGCTCTCTCACTGAAGCTGACGCTCCCCATTCTAGCCAGTCTCTGTGGGGTACTCCAAGGGTCTGCCCGTCTCCATCTCCAGTGTTTGGATTGCAGATGGGTACTGGCACACTTCGATTTCTTTCACGAGTTCTGCATATTTGAACTCAGGACCTCATGGTTGGGAAACCATGCATCTTACTGACTAGGCCATCTCCCTATCCCTTGTAACATCTGTTCACCAAAATTAGGTCCATATTGTTTGTTATTTCCAAAGAAGGATTGGCCTTGTGTAGTGGTGCACGCATCTGAGGGAGCCCAAGGGAGGAAGATAGCACAGATTCAAAGGCCAGGCTACATAGTGAGATCTGTATCAGAAAAAAAAAATGGCAGAAGAGAGGGAGGGAAAAATCCAGGGCTAAGGCTGGAGAGATGGCTCAGAGGTTAAGAGCACTGGCTGCTCTTCCAGAGGACCTGAATTCAATTCCCAACAACCACATGGTGGCTCACAACCCTCTGTAATGAGATCTGGTACCCTCTTCTGGTGTGTAAGCATGCATGCAGATAACTGTATACATAATAAATAAATATCTTTTTTTTTAAAAAAAAAAGGCTAGGGCTATTATCTCTAGGAATTAGCTACGGCTGTAAGCACAAGTCCCTCTGATCAACAAGACCCCAAATACCACAGGATAAGTTATAGAGAAAAATTAATTTCACACATACGCTAATGAAATCATTCAATTACAAAAACCATTGAGTCCCAACAGGGACTCATCAGTCTTGCAGATTCAAAGCCTAAAATAGAATTTCCCCATCCACACCATTTATTACAATAAAGTAGGGAATTCTCCAGATTGTACTCTCCTACTCCCCACACCCAGGCTAATTGAATGAACACCTCAGCCACTGGGCACTAAAAGCTCCCACAGTGACTCTTCTCCGCCTCTGAGGCTGAGAACCACTTGTCTGGAGCAATGTTTTTCAATTTCTGAACCAGGAACAGAAGCAGCATCTCCTGGAAATTCGCTATAAGCTCAAGGGATTTGGCCCAGGCGAGACAAATCAGTGGGTAAAGTTCTGTGAAATCATTGGCACCCGAATTTAGATTCCCAGGATCCATGCAAAGAGCCCAGTGAGGTGGTTTCACACCTGTAATCACAGAACGAGAGGCAGACATGGGACACAGACACGGGACGATCCCTGGACCTCGCTGGCTGCCCAGTCTGGCCAATCAGTGAGCTCCATGTTGAGTGAGAAACCCTACCTCCAAAAAAGCAAAGGTAGAGAGTCATAGAACAAACAAGATAAGCAATGTCAACCTGTGGCTGTGCATGCACATGACTGGGCACACACCAGCCTTACCACATAATCACCAACACAGGCACATGCACACACACGCATGCACCACAAATACAAACATGTAAAACAAATAAGCGTAGACTCTTTTTGCCCAGCCTTCTGCAACTGCTCAAGTCCTCCAGGAAACTCTGAAACCAACTGTGAGAACCACATGGATCCAAAGAAAGAAGCATCCATTTATTGGACAACAGTATCGTCCCTTCCCATGCACCCTTCACTGGGTACCCCAGAGAGCACCCCAAGGCAGTGATGCTCTCTGGGATTAATCAGTCCACAGGAGGCAGAGCTGTTCTTTAAGGAAGGGACCATAGGAGAGTCTGAAAGAAGGACTTCAAGCAAATCGAGCACGCAATGCAGCCACAGCTGTGGTGACTGCAGGAGGAACTGGTTACCCCGGGGACCTCGAGAGCCCCGGAGCCAGGATCAGCACACACTCAATGTGCTACCCCTCTGCCTCACCAATCCCGCAGCTCGTGACTCAGGACCCCTCAAGCATTGTCAAGTAGCTGATCTTCATATTCCGATGGAGATGCGGCAGAGCTGTTGGAATTTACACGGAAACGCCTGGAAGCGAGTGGAGTGCTGATGAAGGAAGAGCTGGAGGCTACGGAACCTTAGGAAACGTAGCCTTGCTGGGTAAAGTGGGATGCTAGGAGCTAGCCAGTGTCACAGTCCAGACTCACTTCCTTTCCGTTTCTGCTCTCTGAGACAGCAGGTGTGGTCAGCTGCCTCTCCTGCTGCCTTTCTGCCATGGTGGATGCTACCCCTTCAAACTGCAAACCAAAATAGACGCCACCTCCAGCAAGCTGCTCCATGTCAGATATGTGCTTGCAAAAATAAGCTGCTCCATGTCAGATATGTGCTTGCAAAAATAAGCTGCTCCATGTCAGATATGTGCTTGCAAAAATAAGACATATAAACGTGGGGAAAGTCTGCCACAAGAATGTGAATTCAATTGAGTTGTTCTCTCTGGCTCTCATTCTATACGGGTGGCGCCCCCTGCCTGGTGCAAACTAATGCCCTGCTGTTGCTGAGACTGACCCTCCGTCTACCTCCCAGGTACCACATCTGTGTGACCGTGCTGATCTACTTCCTGCCCCTGCTGGTGATTGGCTACGCGTACACTGTGGTAGGGATCACACTGTGGGCCAGCGAGATCCCTGGGGATTCCTCCAACCGTTACCACGAGCAAGTCTCTGCCAAGCGCAAGGTGAGCAAAGTCAAGCAGGCACAGCCCATCCTGCCCGGGAGGGGAGCAGGGAGTTCCCAGAGGCAGAAGCCTTAAGGCATCTCTGGACCTCAGGGACAAGAGAGGAAACCAGGGTCTTCACACCCACAAGAACATACTCATACACAGTCATACGCACGTGCAGACTCTCGTATATACACATAATCTCACACATACAAGAGTACTCATCCACATACATGCATTCATATACATACATGCCAACAATCACACAATGTATACACACACAAACATAAACAGTCATATGCATGCATGTATACACACAAAAACCTACTTAACACATACACATATACATGCACATATACATATATAAGGACTCATAAACGTACACACACAAATATTCATACAAATGTACACACAAACACTCATATACATATACACACAAATCCATGTACACATATACATGTATAGACTCTCACATACATATACACACACTCACAAAATTTATATGCATATACTCATATGTCCATACATCAACATATATACTCAATCACATAAATTCACATACATGAAAGACACATATATTCAAATACACTCATACACATATATACAAATACACATATACTCATATATATATATACTCATGTACATTCACACAATCCTTCATGTGCAGACATTCATATACATATTAACATACATATTCACATATTCATATACATATACACAAACACATGTGCTAATATACAAAAATGCAAAAACACATATACTCATACACCTGTATACTATTCCAATGCACACATATACATATCTATGCATACACTTAGACATACACAACTCACACACACATGCATACAGATCATGGAGCACTTCTGCCTGGAAATTTATAAGCAAGAGAAATTGACCTTCACAGCTCTAGGGGCCAGGAGACCAGGACCAAGGCGGAGTCCCTGTCTGGTGAAGGCCCTTCCTGCTCATGGTAGTTGCCTTTGCACTGGGTACTCTCACAGTAGGAAGGTAACAGAGCTTCCAGGCCTCCTCATAAGGGCTTTAATCCTGTCTATAAATCTTCGCTATCAGTGTCTAATTGCTTCCCAAAGGCCTGTGCCCTAATACTGTCACGTGTCATAGTCCACTGGCAACTGCAACTCAGCATGTGATGTCTGCAGACCAAGCACCTTCCCTGACTCCCTGGCTGGCCCAGCCCTCTGCTGTCCTCTCTCCTGAGTCCCCGTTCACTTCTGCTCACTGTCTCTCCCTTGGCTTCTCTATGCATTGCCCATCAGGGTCACACAGCAGCACATCACGGTCCTCTAAGGGTTCCTGGTCTGCTCCCGGGCTTAAGTCTAGGTGTCTGGGACAGTCAGGTCCAATAACCTGTAATTCCTAACAAGTCCCTGGTGGTGGTGATTATGATGGCAGTCCTGGGCCACACGCAGAGAACTGTACCCGGGGTCCTTAAGCCTGAGTGTTAAGGGTCTCCCGGCTGCCTTGGAAGACACCACTGTGAACACCTCCCCTCGCACACACACTGCACAGTGGCGGGGACGGGACAGAAGCCGCCCTGCGGAAGGACGTGCTGACTGATGGGCCTGCCTGCCTCGCCCTTTTCCCAGGTGGTCAAAATGATGATCGTGGTGGTGTGTACCTTTGCCATCTGCTGGCTCCCCTTCCACATCTTCTTCCTCCTGCCCTACATCAACCCAGACCTCTACGTCAAGAAGTTCATCCAGCAGGTCTACCTGGCCATCATGTGGTTGGCCATGAGTTCCACCATGTACAACCCCATCATCTACTGCTGCCTCAACGACAGGTGAGAACACCGTGCTCACGTATCCAAACCTGGAAAGAGCCGCCGCCCAGAGGGCGTGGTGGGCCTCAGCAAGCTCACCTCACACTCCAAGCCATGCTCGCTGGAGCTCTGCAAGAGTGTGAACCCAGAGTAGGGTGGTTCCCTCGACCAAGGGGACAGTTGTCTTTAATTCATGTGTGCCGTGGTTTGTGCATGCGTGCGTGTGTGTGTGTGTGTGTGTGTGTGTGTGTGTGTGTGTGTGCAAATCTGTAATCTGTATGTGTGAGTGGGCATCTGTGCGTGTGACTGGAGGCCGGAGTAGGATGTCAGGTGCCCTGCTCTATCATTCCCCACCGTATTCCCTTGAGACAGAGTCTCTTGCTGAAACCAGACCTAGGCTGGCAGCCAGTGGGTCTCCAGTTATCTTGCTGTCTCCACACACCAACACACACACACACACACACACACACAGACACACACACGGACACAGAGAGAGAGAGATGGGGATATGGGTACTGCACAACCACACCTGGCTTTTTTGCAGGAGTTCTGGGAATCTGAATCAGCAAGCACCCTAGCCCATTGAGCTGTCTCCCCAGCCTCCTGGTCTTTACAAGGTTGAGCCTGTGTTAGTGGGATTGAGGGCATGCTGTGACTGTCGCTTGTAGACAAGCCTGCATGGTCTTCTTGTGGCATTACCTCATTGGGGCCACTTCCCCTGATGCATTTTAGTAACTAACACAGAAAAGCAAAGGAGGTCAGGGCCTCCGTGGCCTGGTTCCTGCCCTTACGTGGTCAGACAGGCTCACGGAGCCTTCTCCCAACACAGGTTAACCCAGATAATTCAGAGAAGAGAGACCCCGGGACTGGCCTTGGCAATAAAGAATTCAGCGTGGTAGGTAGAGAGCATGCAGGAGGGGCCTGGGACACCAGGCTGTAGTGTAATTGTCACCCAAAGAAGCATCCAACCTGTGCTTGGGGAAGGAAGGATGCTGAAACACAGGGAAGATAGGAAATCCCTGTCCTCTCCCTCTCTCTCCCTGCCTCCCTCCCTCTCCCTTTCTCCCTCCCTCCCTCCCTCTCCCTTCCTCCCTCCCTCTCCCTCCCCCCCTCTCCCTCCCTCCCTCTCCCTCTCTCCCCATCTGGGATGCTGGAACAGGTCCCCCGTAACTGACACACCCAAGCATTAGAAGTATGTGTGGTCTCCACATCTCACAGTCTCATCTTCTAAGAGTCTGATGACCTATCTCCAATCTTTAGGTTAAATTCTCCCATGACCCTCCATGTTTAATAAGTATGGAAGCCGAGGTGCCCTGACAAAACATCACTGGCAGTCAAGGGTTGAGTCTAGATACATACTGTTGCTGTGATCCTGGTATGTTAGTTACCTCTCTACGGCTGATATGGACACCATGGCCAAGCAACTTATAAAAGAAAGGGTTTGTATAGGCCTGTGAGCCCACAGGAATAGGAGCCCATCACGGCATGGAGCTGTGTGGCAGCAGGTAGTAGGCATGGTAGCAGGGACAGCTAAGAGCTCACATCTCCAACTGCAAACAGGAAGCAGAGAGAATGAACCTGAACCTGAAATGGCGGAGGCTTTTGAAACCTCAAAGCCCGTGACATACTTCATCCAGCAAGGCCACACCTTCCAAGACTACCCAAACAGTGCCACCAGCTGGGGACCAAATATTCAAATACCTGAGACTATCCTCGTCATTCAAACCACAAGGCCTGGCAAACAGCTCAGTAGATACACACAAATAACTACGGTATGGAATAGTTTTTGCTGATGTTCAATTAACCAAATGCCTCTAGCTCACACACCCAAAGAAACAACCTAATTCTTAGATGCCCCAAAGGAAGACTAGATTTCATCTTGACAACTGCCCTGAAGGAGCTCGTCCCCAACACCTCCAGATGTGAATTAATTTGAATATGTAATGGCATAGACTCTGACCTGTGTAGGTCCTGTGTTGAGGGGCTGACACCATGGGGGGAGAAGCTCTCTTAAAGCAGACATTCCCACGGCTCACCTCTCCATCCTTTCTCTCCAGGTTCCGTGTGGGCTTCAAGCATGCCTTTCGATGCTGTCCCTTCATCAGTGCGGGCGATTATGAGGGGCTGGAAATGAAATCCACCCGGTACCTCCAGACCCAGGGCAGCGTGTACAAGGTCAGCCGCCTGGAGACCACCATCTCCACTGTGGTGGGGGCCCATGAAGAGGAGCCAGAGGAAGGTCCCAAGGCCACGCCCTCATCCCTGGATCTCACCTCCAATGGCTCTTCTCGAAGCAACTCCAAGACCATGACAGAAAGCTCCAGCTTCTACTCTAACATGCTGGCCTAGGCAGAGAGCACATTCCAAGGACACCGGCCCATCCTGCATCCTGATTCATTTATTCGTTGGTCCAGAATCCATTGGAAATACTCTAACACTGGAGCTTTTGGAAAGAGTCACAATGGTCTAAGGAAAATATCCCATGCTGTATTCACCTGGATTCCTTCCTGTCCCTGTCAACCATCCTCATGACTGGGACCTAAGGCAGATCAGTGGACATCTACAAAGTGAGAAGTCTGCACTTGACCCCCTGAAGTTCACGCACCCCGTGATGCCTGAAGTGACTTCATCTGCATGCAGGCGCTCATCTGGGGCAGTATTCCGCAGCAATGAGTCCAGCAGACCTGTTTGCCTGGAGCGTCTGTCTTTCTTCTGTAAAGTTGTTCTCAGCCATGTGCAGATTAGCTCGTACCACGCCAGCCTTCCACAAGATAGTGTGAGCAAGAGAAGGTGCCACATGCATCCTAATGAAAGCTGTATCCTCCAGCTAAGCACACATGAATAGAAGACACACATCCACCATTTTTGTGGCATTGGAATATTTCAATTCATTAAAACATCACGGGATCGACACCTTCTGACAACCTCAGTCCCTTCTGCATTGTGTCCCGTCCCGAATGCAACCGATTCTTACTGAATGTGTCTATGGCAGCAGTTGATGTGTGTGCTAACAAAGAGCCAGGAGACCTAAGCCAGGCTTGACCTATCTGGGCCTCTTTCCTTCTTTGTAAAGCTACAGGGCTGAACGGAATACTCTTAAGTATCCCTTCAAGTTTCAGTGTTCCCTGGTTTAATGATTATACACTTTGTGTTCTCTCTTTCTTTCTCTCTCTCCCTCTCTCTCTACACACCACACACACACACACACACACACACACACACACACACACACACCACAAAATAAATTAATTAATTAAAATTAAATTTTAAAAAAGATGACAGTCTCAGAAGAGGTAATTCTAGGAGAGGTAATTCCTAGAAACAGGTTATGTTGTGTGTAAATATTCTCCCATTGATCCAGAAACCCTGATCCAAAAACTTCCTTCTCCAGGAAGGTTCTGGTCATTGACAGAGCAGAGCATTTCATAGGAAACCGTGGATCTCTCCAGCAGCTGCAGCAAGCTGCAGCCCACCTCTGAGAGCAGCAGCATCAGGAAGAGGAGTGTGTGAGCTTCCTGGCCTGGCTGCCTCCGTCTTCGTGATGGGGCCCTAACTCAGCCTCTTCACTTTTTGCCACACACTGTAGAATGAGGAGGCTGAGTGATCCACCAACCCCAAAGGACACTTAGTCTGCCACGAGCTGGGGACTGAAACTCCATGTCCTGATACAGCTTCAGGATCGCCAGCAGGAAAGCAAGCTGAGATTTAGGCCTTGCCCAGATGTGACTGGAAGCCAAAGCTTCCTGTAGCATCCACGAATGTCCTCATGGTCCGGATAACTAGATGCACACAAGCTCCATCCATCATGTCAGAGAGAACAATGGCACCCACTACCAGGTTTTTTCAGCTTTGGCTAGCCTTGTTGGCTCTAAGCCTATGAGGGAATCAGCGCACCTGAGGGGAGGCAACCGTTACATAAAAAATGGTCCAAGCCAGAAAAACAGAAATGAGAAGCATACTCTGCAGAGCATCATGGGAAAGAGTGCATAAGGTAAGCAAATCCTGCTCAGTGACACACTATGAGTGGAAAATAAAATGTAGGGGCAACTAAAGTCAGTGCCCAAGTTGTTAACTGTGCCTCCAATAAAGAATCTTTCTATGCATGGATGCAAAGCGGGGTGCTTATGAAGAGTACCCAGGAAGAAAGCATCGAGTGTTGAAGACACCCATCAGCATAAGGGGTTGGGGTGGAGCTGGCAAGGATCTATGCAGTGCCTGCTCTGGACTCTGCCCTGAGTTAAGGACACACAGCTCCTTCTACCCTCAGGAGGTTTCCTCTGCCTGCCACTTCTGATGCATGTGCCAGCCCTGGTGAAACCAGGCGGCTCACCAGCCCTGGAGGAACTGAGAAACAGAATCTTCCTAGGGTTTTAAAGGCCAACTTTCAACGTGGAGACTCAGGCCAAAGGGTAGAGCTTTCATAGAACCTCTGCAATGCAATTTCCTGAGGTAACTCTGAAGGAGGTCACCAGTCCCCACGGGGGACCTTAAGACCTGAGATGAGCAGTTTCATTCCATGTGTAGTAAGAGGGAAGATGAGATAGGCCTGGGATTTATGGGTATGGAAAAGCATCCCTTACAGAGGACCAGAGAGCACCCACTACCCCATTTCATTTGTAGAAATGCCATCAATTCCTGTGTGTGAGAATACTGTGACTTTTTTGCTCTGTGCATGGGTCTCTTATTGAAATGTGTCACCCTGTGCTTATCTCCTAAATGAGTTTTCTTGATGTACCCTCCAGTAGTGATAGACTGGGGGACGGACACCCTGGGGCCGTCCTCCCTGTGTGACCTGTAGCCTGTGGCATCCCAGTCCGTTGGCATGCTCCTGTTACCCCAATCTCCTCCTGCCTCTGTTCTTGCTTAGAAAGGAGCTGTGAAATGTACCTCATAGTCCGTGAAACTGAGGGGTGGGGAAGGGGCCTTAATGTGAGGACCACCCTCAGCCCTTCAGCAAAATGGCAAGGCAAAGGGCTGAGTGGAATCCTGGGAGAGGAGAGCACTCAGGCCCGGGGGTAATGTATGCGTAGGGAAGAGTCACTCCTGAGGCGTCTGTGTTTGGGGCCTGGGATGCTGGGAAGACTCTCCCATGGGAATAAAGTGTGTCTTCAGTCACCTTGTGCCTCTGTGTCTTCTCTAGGGAACAGGAAGACACTATCGGGGGTGGAGTGGTAACTCTCACAGAACACACACCCAGCAGGACAAAACCCAATGCTGTGGTGGCTGTGATATGGGCTGGCGAGCCCGGGGGAGGGGGGGTGCGCTCCCAAACTGGGAAGCAGGGATGGGGGGGGGTGGGATTGTGCGGCCGGTTCAAGCTGCCCATGGGAAGGTGACAAGGCAGTTGTGTGGACAAATACCCTGGAGGCGAGGTCAAGGCAGATCATGTGGGGCCGAGGGGGGGGGTGGAGCTCAAGGGCCCAGTGGGAGGCAGGGCAGGACTTTAGCCCACCAGAAGAACGGAGACAGGGTGTTGGGTTTGAATGAGAAGCGTCTCCTATAGGCTTGGGTATAGTTGGTCCCCAATTGGTTTTGCTACGCAGAACCTTTGAGAGGTGGAGCCTTGCTAACAGACATCCATCACCGGGGTGAGGGGTATTATGCACTCTAACCTTCGGGAACTGTTAGCGCGAACAAACGGTTTGTTCTGTAACTTGCCTTGGCCATGGTGTTTTTATCACAACAGAGACGTAACTAACGCAGAGGGAAAGAAAAACCCAGTGTGTGTGGAGACTGCTCAAGAGAAGAAGCCCACGTCTGCTTTCGTAGAAGTGGCCAAGCTGGTACCCACCGTGCTCAGCGGCTGCCTGGGGTCTTCTGGAGAAGGGGGAAGGAGGTGTCCACACCGAACAATGTGGCAGGCCCGAATGCTGCTGCATCCTGGCCTGACCACACGCCTCGCCCACTCTTTCTCCAAGTCAGTCCACGCTGTGCAGCTTCACAACCGGTACAACAGCTTTGGCGCAGGCCTCTGCGTCCAGAAACATGACAGAAAAACCGCCGCAGGTTGGGAATATCAGTGGGGATCACTGTGAGAACTAGCAACCTGCCTCCCCCTGCTGAGCCGCCTCCCACGGGCCGGCGGTGCCATCAGGAGAGCCATGAGGCACTGTGGACACCCTTGCAATGGCGAAGAGAAGAAAAGAAGAAAACAGCTACCCGAGGTGAGCAACGAAGATGCTCCAAATGAAGAAGATGCTCCTTTCTAAATTAAGGCATCTTAGAAAATGCTCCCTGGACAAGCTTCAAGGAACCCGCAAACCTCCTTCAAGATCCTCACACCTCACATGGAAAATGGTCTGGGGTGGGGAGGGGGTGTGTGTGAGTCCATCTGAATATCCTCTAAAGCAATGATTGACCCTATGCTGTTCAGCAAAAGGAGAGAGTGTGGAATGTTTCCAGGGGGGGGGGGGTGAGAAGCCTGAGGCCTTCCGAGCACGGCAAGAGGTAGATGAGCCCCAGAAGAACCAGCCTGGCTGCCAGGAAACAGCTTTGGAATAAAAATCATACTTCTCGGGCAGCGGACGATTTGAAGCTTTAGACAAAACCATCGAGCTCGTGCTGAGCGGTGTGCTCACTCTTCTCCATGGAAACACAAGTATGCCCCTTGCATAAGCAATGGGGGCTCTTTACAGGTCAACAGATAATACAGGGTGTGGGGGACAGTTATGGAGACACAAAGATGTCTTCATTTGCTCCAGGGTTTGTGTGGCAAGTGTCCTAGAGATATCCACCCTAGTGGCTGAAGCAGGACTTGGTAATACTACCCCCTGGGCTCCCTCAATCCCTCGGTACAAGAGTAAATGAACGTCCTCAGCTCTGAACACTAGTCCAGTAGTTTAGTGAAGGCCTCAGGCACGGGTAGCTGAGGTGGGGACACGTGGAGAATGTCCCTCTCCACCTTCAAGGCTAAACGGAGCATCTGACCCCGGCAGGCAATGCTCTAAGACACCATCACTTACCTACCCAGTTCAGAGGACCAGAAGAGAGGGAAAGAGGCAGAAAAGGAGCTGCCTTGTGGTACAGACTGGACACGGGGGTTGCACACCCCGACCCTCCCTCTCAAGCACCACAATTTCCTAGGAGGAAAGACACAAGTAACCAGAGGCAAATGCTGGCGTTGCCTGTTCTGCTAGCTCTGGAGACTTCCGTTCCAGTTCCAACCTGGGTTCTCTGCATTGAATCTCCTGTTTGTTTGCTTGTCTGCTTTCTTTCTTAACATTCATTTTTAATTTAAAAAAGTATGCGGCTAGATATTTGAAAATTTTGCACATGGTCTGATCATATTCACCCTTCCATCCCTCGGGCTTCTGAGATCCACCCCCACTTTCCTACCCACTCAACTTTGT